CCACATTTACATTTCACTCACTGGTGTTTTACTCAGAGAGGTTCTTGAGGCCTGTGTTAGACTTTTCTGTATCAGTGATATTGATTATACATGTAGAGCTATTTTGGATTTCTAAAAAAAGTAATTTGTTTGGATAAAAACAAATTTTGAAGAAGAGGAAATATTGTCTCAAAGTGAAAGTATTGTTTTTTTTTTTTGAGACAGAGTCTTGCTTTGTTGCCCAGGCTAGAGTGAGTGCCATGGTGTCAGCCTAGCTCACAGCAACCTCAAACTCCTGGGCTCAAGCAATCCTTCTGCCTCAGTCTCCCGAGTAGCTGGGACTACAGGCATGTGCCACCATGCCTGGCTAGTTTTTTCTATACATATTAATTGGCCAATGAATTTCTTTCTATTTATAGTAGAGAGGGGTCTCGCTCTTGCCCAGGCTGGTTTCAAACTCCTGACCTTGAGCAATCCGTCCGCCTTGGCCTCCCAGAGTGCTAGGATTACAGGTGTGAGCCACCGCGCCTGGCCAGAATTTCATTCTTTTTTATGGCTGAATAGTATTTCATTGTGTGTATATACCACATTTTCTTTATCCATTCATCCATTGATGGAAACTTAGACTGATTCCATATCTTGGCTCTTGTAAATAGTACTTCAGTAAACATGGGAGTGCAGATATCTGTGACATACTGATTTCATTTGCTTTGGGTAAATACTCAGTAGTGGGATTTCTGGGTCTCTCGTAATCATTTTGAGACCCAGTTCAGGAGTTTCTTTTGGGAAGCAGTCCCTGAGATTGTCTGTATTAGGTGCTTCTGGTGCTCGGATAGCTTTATGATTAGCTTTGTCTTAGCTAATTGTATAATATTTAATTCTTTATATACTAGTTTGTCTTCCAGATAGCTTCATGAGGGGATTTTCTTCATGAAGGAATGCTCACTTTGTGCCCTAAGTCCCTGGCATACTGTCTGCCTGTAAGCATGTGAGGATCAAATGTATCAGGAATAATGTGAAGCAAAAGGCCACTTTGCTAATTTTGGGGTATAGCTACTTTTACATGGATCCTTAGAGTTACAGGAAAACTATGAGGGGGCAGTCATGGTCAAGTGGAAAACTATGATGGAGATTTGGAGTTAGAGAACCAGGTTCCATGCTAAAGATTTTTGGTTTGCCACCTCTGATTCTCACAGGGATCTTATGAGACAAGTGGCATAACGAGGAAACTAACGGACAGAGAAATGAAGTAACTTATGTCAGTTTTTATTTTTATCAGCTATGTAGTGTGTTTATCAGCTGTGTAGTTTTATCAGCTGTGTAGTGTGTAGTCTGTTTCCCCACGTCCCTGACGTATTTGGACACCATCAATCTTTTTTTTTTTTTGAGACAGAGTCTCGCTTTCTTGCCTAGGCTAGAGTGAGTGCCGTGGCATCAGCCTAGCTCACAGCAACCTCAAACTCCTGGGCTTAAGCAATCCTACTGCCTCAGCCTCCCGAGTTGCTGGACTACAGGCACGAGCCACCATGCCCGGCAATTTTATATATATATATATATATATATATATATATATATTAGATGGCCAATTAATTTCTTTCTATTTTTTTTATAGTAGAGACAGGGTCTCGCTCAGGCTGGTTTTGAACTCCTGACCTTGAGCAATCCGCCCGCCTCGGCCTCCCAGAGTGCTAGGATTACAAGCGTGAGCCACCGTGCCTGGCCAGACACCATCAATCTTTTGAAACTAATTTAATCAAGTTTTAATTTATCTGCTCATTATTTGTGAAGTTGAACATCTTTTATTATGTGTGTTGGTTGTTTGTATTTCTTTTATACTTTGCCTATTAGTAGCTTTAATTCATTTTTCTTTTGGATTATCTTTTACTGGTTTGCAGGAGCCCTGTTATATATTACATATGTTGTACATATTTTTAAGCTAGTTGCTTGTGGTTTTTTTTTTTTTTGTCATTGTTGTTTTTCAGGTGAGATCTTGCTATGTTGCTCAGGCTGAACTCAAACTCCTGGGCTCAAGTGATTCTCTTGCCTCGGCCTCCTGAGTAGCTGGGAGTACAGATTTGCACCATTGCGCCCAGCTCTGTTGCTTGTATTTTAACTTTATTTATGGCATCTTTTGTTTTATTTTTATGTAGTAAAATCTGCCTTTCTTTTTTTTTTTAAACTCGAATCCCATGACAGATTAAAGATCTGCCTTTCTTGATGGTTGGTTTTTAGCCTTGATTCTAGCAGAAAGGCCTTCTGTTTTGAAGGCCTTTCCATGCAACATTATAAAAACCACTTTACAAATGTCTTCATTTTTCTGCGTATACACTCAGTAAGAATTATTCTTTGCAAATAAGGAAGGTGTTCAGATCTATTATTTGGGGATATGATTAGCTCTTAGACCTGTTCTGCATTTCATGAAATATTTGAAGATCTGGACTAGATAGGGAATGGTAATTAAGAGAGTCAGGTGAAATCACATTCAAATTGCTAATCTCTGCCTCTTAGATGTTTATACCCAAGATGGCTGCTCACACTGGAGGTAGTCCTAAAAAGTGTGAGCAGGTTGGCTTCCATTCTGATGAAAATTCTTACCCCAAAGTTTAGATTTTTAGTGTAGACTGAGTTAGATCAAGATGCTGTAATTTCTTTTAGCCTTATGCTGCCATCATAGTATGGGGAGTATGGGGAAGGAGGGTAAAATAATGGGAAATGAAAAGAAAGGAGATGTGAGTGTGGGGAGAATTGCTTAGGAAAGGAAAAATGTAACAGTGTTGAGTGGCAGCGCGGGTTTTTATACAGACATAAATTAGCTCAATATTACCAACAGTTCGTTCTCTGAATTATATTTTGTTTTCTTTTTGTGGTTTGAAGCACTTGTGGTCCTAAAACAGGTTGAAAACCACTGCTTGCTTTAACTGGATTATTAGCGTACAGTTTGGTATTTCTGTGGTGCACACGCACTCTTCTTTCTCTGTGTGTATGTTTAAACAGTCACCACTGTTTGATGAAGAATCACTGTGTAATTTCAAAAGTGAAACTCTGATGTGAAACTCTCATTTCCTCTGGAAGCAATAAAGTAGTTGTCAGCCTGAAATTTGATTCTTTGCAAGTTATAAAGAAGACTGGTTTTCTTTATTGTTCTTCCCTTCTTTAGCATCTGACACAAATGTCTCAGTTTCACTGCTGAGGTATACATTCTGTAAGCAGTATTTTTTTAGAATTAGACTTTTTTTTTCCTTTTTTGGCTCCCGCTGGCCCCCCCTAGACTTAGACTTGATTAGGATGGATTTGTAACTTTTCTGTATGCGGAGACTTACAAAAGAGGATATAAAACTAGGGAAGTCTTTAACCTTTTTTCTCCCCCAATTTAACATGCCTGTGTACCTCATTTATTTATTGGCTTAGCCACAAAGCTGTGTGTGTGTGTGTGTGTGTGTGTGTGTGTGTGTGTAACAGATTTGTATGTATGTATGTAACAAATTTGTTTGGGATTTTTGACATTTTAAGAGTATGATAATTACTGCCAGGATCTAGGATATAATTCCTGACTTTTTGTACACTTTATAAAGTACTTTTGTGGGTGTTTCTCTCATATAATAAAGAGAGATAGGTTAGGGGGATAAAAAGTATTGAAAACTCATGATTATAATAAGGATAGGAAGAGGGAACAAAGTACAGCTGGTTCTTGAACCCAGTTTTTTTAGAATTCATATCCTAAATTTTTCTCATTATTTTGTATTCTTTATACGCTTGTCTATTAGCAGAGATAACTATAAATGCAGTGTTTCAGTAATATGAAGGGATATTAGTTCAGAAATGAGGTGAAGGGAAGCTCTTTAATGAACCAAAATTATGATAGATACATAAGCCTCATAAAGGGAAGGTATTATTAGTCCCCCTTTACTGAGGAGAAAACAAAGTAACTTGCCCAAGGTCACACAGGTGGAAAGCACTAGAGCACAGATTCAAACCAAAGCTTTCTAAGGTCTCTTCCCTCTACTCTACACCATAGTTTCTTCAAAACTAAATTTTAGAAGGGTAGGGAAAAATATATATTCAAAGGATTAAAAAGTGATTTTAATTGTAAATTACATTGTAAATGTTTCAGTATGATTAATTTGAATTCTATAGTTTAACATGGGTAATTATAGAGCATATTGCAATAAGCATCAGAGTTTTTTCTTGGGACTTTGTGGAAATCATACAAAGAAAAATAATTTGAAGGTTTTTAGTTATTAAGAATGATCAGGCCGGGCGCGGTGGCTCATGTCTGTAATCCTAGCACTCTGGGAGGCTGAGGTGGGCGGATTGCTCGAGATGAGGAGTTCGAAACCAGCCTGAGCAAGAGCAAGACCCCATCTCTATAAAAATAGAATATAAATTAATTGACCAACTAAAAATATATATAGAAAAAATTAGCGGGGCATGGTGGCGCATGCCTGTAGTCCTAGCTACTCAGGAGGCTGAGGCAGCAGGATTGCTTGAGCCCAGGAGGTTGAGGTTGCTGTGAGCTAGGCTGATGCCACGGCACTCACTCTAGCCTGGGCAACAAAGCAAGACTCTGTCTCAAAAAAAGAATGATCAGAGGTGTGAGAGTTATTCTTCTCTCAAACTGGAGTATAAGTCCCACAGACAAGGATTGTTTTCTTCAAACCTTTGTCTTCTCTCCAGCTGAGCCTGGGATGATGAGATATGTGTATGCCTACCTGATCAATAAATACCTACTACTTGCCTTGTGCTATCATTAACAAAAATTTCACCTGCTTATTTTTGCTCTGTTTTTGGCCAGATTCTGAGAATTAGTATTACTTTTCATTAGACAAATTATTTTTAACTCAGGTAATTTTATCAGTTAACTTTTACACGTAAAAAGAATGCTGCTGCACACAAGGAACTATCTTGATTTGGAGAAATTTCTCAGGATAAGCCAGTGCATGTGTAAAGTTGTCCATTTTACAGTTGAAACTCGAATTTTATGCTGTTAATGTTTACTTATGAATCTCTTTTTTTGCTTTTAGGACATTCGGAAATTCTTTGGAGTTAAACCAAGTGGAAAGAAACCTGTAAGTGAAACAGTAAAGAAGAATGAGAAAACAAAGTCTGCGGAAGAAACTTTAAAGGGAAAGAAAGGAATAAAGGAAATCAAGGTCGGTTTCTCAGATATAATTTTGCATTATATGAAATGTTAAGTAGGCTCAGTTCCTAAGCTTGACATGTTGGGAGCCTTGAGTAAATGTAGATTTCAACTCATTTAGTAGCAGAAGTAATAAGGCTATTACTTATTTCTAATTAATATAGCTTACTACATTTAGAGCTTGGTGTTTTCCTTGGTTTTCCTGATGTAGAAAGGAACCCTTGTTAGTTGTTGAAACTTTGCATTTTAAGACCAAAGTTTGCTCGCAGAGACGTGATCCCCTATCGTCAGGTGAGTGGTGTTAGACTAATGGTGAGGGAAGGCTTTGAACGCAAGGTTTATTCTTTACCCTGTTCCTCTATGGGCCTCAGAGAAGTTAAGATACAGTGTCAATTTGGAAAGCAGGCAATGGCTGTAGTAGTGTGCTTGAATTAATATTGTGCCACTTTATGGCCAGATGTGGTGGCTCATGCCTGTAATCCTAGTACTTTGGGAGGCCAAGGTGGGAGGATTGCTTGTGACCAGGAGTTTGAGAATAGCCTGGGCAACATAGCAAGACCCTGTTTCTACAAAAAGTAGAAAAAATATGAGCTGGACACACCTGTAGTCTGAAGCTACTTGGGAGGCTGAGGCAGGAGGATTGTTTGAGCCCAGGAATTCAAGACTGCAGAGAGCTATGATGGCGACAGAGCCAGACTCTGTCTCTAAAGAAAAACATATATTGTTTCACTTTATGTAAAAATGTAAGAATCTTGCAACTTTATAAGTCCATTTGACACTACTTCATTCTTTATGCCCTATTTGTCGTATGTATTACATCTATGTCAATACTTCACAATTCAGTGTAATTTCACTTTAAATAGCATGTGTACTATAAGGAAATTAAGGAAAAAATTACTCTCTTCAATTTACCCATGTAGTTGCTATTTTTGGTGCTGTTCATTCTCACTGAAGATCTGAGTTTTCATCTAATATCATTTTCTTTCAACCTGAATAATTTTCTTTAGCATTTCTTACAGATCTTTTGATGATGAATTCTGTAAGTTTTTGTTTATCTAAAATTATCTTTATTTTGCCCTTGTTCTTTATTGTTTTTTGAGACAGAGTCTCACTTGGTTGCCCAGGCTAGAGTGCCGTGGCATCAGCCTAGCTCACAGCAACCTCAAACTGCTGGGCTCAAGCAATCTTCCTGCCTCAACCTCCCAAGTAGCTGGGACTACAGGCATGTGTCACCATGCCCAGCTAATGTTTTGTATATATATTTTTAGTTGATCAATTAATTTCTTTCTATTTTTAGTAGAGACAGGGTCTCGCTCAGGCTGGTTTCCAATTCTTGACCTCGAGCGGTCTGCCCATTTTGGCCTCCCAGAGTGCTAGGATTACAGGCATGAGCCACCATGCCTGGCCTTGTCCTTGTTCTTGAAGGATATTTTTTGCTGGATATGGAATTTTGGGTTGACAGTTTTTTTTTTGTCTCAGAACTTTAAAGATGTTTCTACTGTCTTTTGGCCTCCAGTTTGTCTGATGAGATGTTACTAGTCATTCATATTGTTTTCTCTTATGTGTAATTTGGGGCTTTTTCATGGTTCATTAAAGATGTTTTCTTTATTTTTGGTTTTCAGCTGTTTGACTATGGTGTGCCTAGGGGTGGTTTTCTTGTGTTTATCCTTTTTACAGTTTCTGAGCGTCTTGAATCTATACATTTATATCTTTCATCAAATTTGGGAGCTTTTTCTATTATTTCTTCAAATATTTTTTTCTGCCTCATTCTCTCTTTTTGAATTACAATTACGTACAAATTAGAATTTGCTATTGTTTCACAGATTATTGAGGCTTATTCATTTTTGTAAGTCTTTTTTCATATTGGATACTTTCTCTTTTTCTGTTTTCAAGTTCATTGATTTTTCTTTTATCTCCAATTTGCTTTTAAGGCTATCTAGTGAAATTTATATTTTTTAATTTTTAATTTTTTCGGTCTCTGTAGAGACTGTCAAAAATTGCCAGTGCCGACTATATTTCAAGTTTTTATGGTGGTGTATTGGGAAAAGTTTTCAATTAGCAATAATCGTACCTCAGACAAACCTCATTGCTATGATGATACTGCCACCATGCAAAGCTTTATTGTATTTTTCAACTCCAGAATTTTCATTTGGTTCCTTTTCACAGTTTTTTTCTTTTGTTTTTGAGTGTAGCTATATTAGCTGTTTTAAAATTCTTGTCTGGTAATTCTAACAGTGGTTTATATCAAGGATTAGTCTCCATTAAGCGCTTTTTCTCTTGAGTCTTTGGGTCATGTATTCTGGCTTTCATAACAAAAATATTAGGTTGGTGCTAAAGTAATTGCAGTTTCAGACCGTAAATTTTACATCATTTTAACTATGCTCGAACACATCTTTATTAATCAAAATCAAAACCATTACAATCAAAGCATTTTTGCCAACGAGACATAGTTTGTTTATTCCTGTAGTGTAAAGATCCATGCTTCAGGATTTGAGGAACTCTTGGAAAGCATTTTCTGCATCTTCTTGGTTGTGGGAGTGTTTTCCCTGAATAAAGTTGTGGAGATGCTTGAAGAAGTGTTAGTCGGTTGGCGAGAGGTCAGGTGAATATTGTGGATGAGGCAAAACTTTGTAGACCAGTTTGTTCAACTTTTGCAGCATTGGTTGTGTGACGTGCTGTCGCATGCCCTTTCTGTTGACCAATGTGGCTGCAGGCGTTGCAGTTTTTGATGCATCTCATTGATTTGCTGAGCACACTTCTCAGATGTAGTGATTTCGCTGGGATTCAGAAAGCTGTAGTGGATCAGACTGGCAGCAGACCATCAAACCTTGACCATGACCTTTTTTTTGGTGCAAGTTTGGCTTCGGGAAGTACTTTGGCTTTGGGAAGCTGCCTCTTGGTCCAGCCACTGAGCTGGTCACAGGTTGTATAAAATCTACTTTTCATCACATACCACAATCCGATTGAGAAATGGTTCATTCTTGTGTACAAGAAGAGAAGACACTTTAAAATGACGATTTTTTTGATTTTCGGTCAGCTCACGAGGCACCCACTTGTCAAGCTTTTTCATCTTTCCACTTCTCTTCAAATGCCAAACAACCATAGAATGGTCGATGTCGCGTTCTTAGGCAACTTTTCATGTAGTTGTAAGAGGATCAGCTTCAATGATTGCTCTCAATTGGTCATTGTCAACTTCCCAGGTCAGCCACTTTGCTCCTCATCCTCAAGGCTCTTTGTCTTCTTTGCAAAACTTTTTTTTTTTCTTAAACAGCCAATAATTTTATTAATATCACACAAGTTTACTGATTTGTAATATACTTTGGAAATTGCCAACATCAACATCAAGATCAAGGTTGCTTTCCTCAAACGGTGATTTGCAAAACTTCCTTTTTTTTTTTATCCCACCCTTTCCAGCCCCCTGCAAAACTTCTTTAACCACATTGCATTGTGTGTTTCTTAGGAGTTCTTGGGCCAAATGTGTTGTTGATGTTTCGAGTTGTCTCCACTGCTTGACAACCTGTTTTGAACTTGAATGAGAAAATCACTAGAATTTACTTTTTGTCTAATATCATTCCCATAGTCTAAAATAAATATAAAATAAACAGCCAGTAATAAGTCATTATCAAAAAAACACAAAGCAAGAAATGTGCATTAAAATGATTTATAAGATAACCACATTTATTTGAGAATGCATTCCAATATCAGCAAATTTAAACAATGCTGAAACCGCAATTACTTTTGCACCAACCTAATAGACTAGATGGCTTAAATAACAAAAATTTATTTTCTCACATTCTGGAAGCTAGAAATCTGTGATCAGTGTACTGACCAATTTGGTTTCTGGTGAGGGCTCTTTTTCTGGTTTACAGATACCTACCTTATTGCTATTTCCTCACATGGTTTTTTCTCAATGTGTATTTGGTACACATGTAGTGTGTATGCATGGAGAGAGATTGAGGACTCTAGTGTCTGTTCTTTTGAGAATGCTAATCTTATCAGATCAGGGCTACCCGTTTGATCTTACTTATCCTTAATTACTTATTTAAAGGTTCCATCTCCAAATATAGCCACACTGGGAGTTAGGGCTTCAACATATGAATTTTGGGATATGCGAACATTCAGGCCATAATATTTCACCATGGTCATTCAAAATTCATGTCCTTCTTGGATGCAAAATACATTCATTCCATGCCACCAGCCCCCCAAGAGTCTTAACTCACTCCAGTGTCAAGTGTGAAGAACAAAGTCTCAAATCTAAATATCATCTAAATCAGATATAGATGAGACTTGAGGTACAATTCATCCTCAGCAAAATTCCTCTCTAGCTATATACCTGTGAAAGCAGATAAAGAATGTACTTCTAAAATATGATGGTAGAACAGGCATAAGGTAGACGTTACCATTCAAAAAGGGAGAAATCAGAAAGAAGAGAAGGGTGATGGATCGTGAACAAGTCCAAAACCAGCAAGGCAAATTCTATTAGATGTTAAGTCTCAAGAGTAATGCTTTTTGGCTTGATGCCCTGCCTTCCAGACCCACTATGGTAGTGGTTCTGTTCCCACAGCTCTGGGCAGCTGTCCTGCTTCTGCAGCTTTGTTGGACCCTTCGGCCCACAAGGCTTTGGGTGGAAGCTGTCTGATCTGTTAAAACCAAGGTGGTGCCCCACCCTTTAAAACTGAAGAGGCAGTCCTGATGATCTCTGAATGGCCCTTGGGGTCATTCTTTCCTTTTCTTAAAGAATAGCTCTATTTTCCTGTCCTGTAGACCATTAGAAGTCTGACAGCCTGCCTTAATTTTGTCTTATCTTCATCCCCTTTGGTTCACCCTGGCAGTATTTCTACTTGTGTAATCCTTTAATCTCTTTACAGAGTGATAATCCAGCTATATTCTTGGTGTCTGCCTCAGAACAAGCTTTGTCATATTTTGCAATGTGGACAGGCAGAACATTTTCCAAATCTTCAAGTTTTAGCCCCTTTCTGTTCAACAATTTCTTCTTTAATTCATCTCCTCATATTTCACTAGCAGTCAGGAAGACTCAGGCTCCACCTTCAATATTTTGCTTTGAAATCTCAGCTTACATATCTAATTTCATGGTTCACAAGTACCATCTTTCAGAAAGCAACAAAACATAACTTAGTCAAGTTCTTTGCTACTTTATAACAAGGATTGCCTTTCTTCCGTTTTCAAGACCTTCTTCCTCATTTCTATCTGAGACCTTACCAGGTTGGCCTGTAACATTCATGTTCCTACGAACATCCTGTTCATGATGATATACATAGTCTGAGATGAAAGAGACTTCCTCTATAGCTCTTCTCTTTTCTTCATGAGGTCTCACTGGAATCACCTTTAATATCCATATTTCTACCAGTAGTTCATTCATAGCAATCTAGGCTTTTTCTAGCATGCGCCTCAAAACTCTTCTAGCCTCTACCTGTTACCTAATTCCAAAGTCCCTTCCATATTTTAGGTATTTTTTTTTTATAGCAGTACCCTATTTCTCAGTACCAGAATCTGTATTATACAGTCAATCAGGATTCTGTAGAGAAACAGAACCAATAAGGATGTATGTATATCTACGCATAGAGATTTACCCTAAGGAATTGGCTCATGTGATTATGGAGGCTGACAAATCCCCAAATTTGCAGTTGGCAAGTTGGAACCCAGGAGAGTTGAGTTGATGGTGTAGTTCCAGTCCAAGTCTGAAGGCCTGAGGAGCTGATAATGTGGTTCCAGTCTGAAGGCCAGCAGGCTGGAGACCCAGGAAGAGCGGTTGCTTCAGTTTGAGTCTAAAGGCAGGAAAAAACTGATGTGTAGCTTGAAGGCAGTCAGGCAGGGGGAATTCTCTCTCATTCAGGAGAGGGAGTGAGCCTTTTGTTCTTTTCAGGCCTTCAACTGATTGGCTCAACCCCATCAGAGAGGGCAATATGCTTTACTTAGTCTATTGATTCAAATATTAAGCTTATCCAAAAATATCCTCACAGAAACACCCAGAATATGTTTGACTGAATATCTGGATATCTTGTGGTCCATTCAAGTTGATGCATAAACTTCACCACCACAGGTTACATGTCCTCTTTCTTGGTATGTCTAGTTATTTTGGATTTATCCTGGACATTGTGAATGACACTGTGTAGGAACTTTGGATTGTATTTTATTTCTCCAAAGATCGTTGATTCTTGGCTTATCAGGCATCAAACTTGACTGAACTCAGCTCCAAACTCTTGCCTCCTGTGTGATGGATAGCAGCTGGAATCTTTGTTCAATTCTTTTAACCTTAGCCAAGCACTTAGCCGCACATATTATATATAGTTCAGGAGATAGAGATTTGGACAAAGTGTACAGCCAGAGTTTGGGACTCACTTTCTGTGGCTCTCTCCTTTTTGTGATACCTACCTATCTTTTGGGTTGTTTAGTTGCTTCTTACTCTGTCCTCTGAAACAATGTTATATGTAAATTATGGATTGGTAGGCAGTAGATTGGTTGGTGGTAGTAATGACAGTTTCTCTCATGTTTCTTGTGACTCAGATGCAGGCTGGCGCAGTGGCTCATGCCTGTAATCCTAGCACTCTGGGAGGCTGAAGTGGGTGGATTGTTTGAGCTCAGGAGTTCGAAACCAGCCGGAGCAAGAACAAGACCTCGTCTCCACTAAAAAATATAAAGAAATTAATTGGCCAACTGAAAATATAGAGAAAAAATTAGCTGGGCATGGTGGTGCATACCTGTAGTCCCAGCTACTCAGGAGGCTGAGGCAGTAGGATTGCTTGAGCCCAGGAGTTTGAGGTTGCTGTGAGCTAGGCTGATGCCATGGTACTTGAGCATGGGCAAGACTCTGTCTCAAAAAAAAAAAAAAAAAAAAGCAGCTATGCATTTCCTCCCTATTTATACTTGCACCTGAGCTAAGTGGAATAGACCTTTTTCCCCATTATATGTAAATTATTATGGTTCATTTGTTCCATTTTCTTGCAAGATTGTTGTTATATTTTTGAAGTTTTATTATAATGGATAGAAATAATTTATATCCCTATCTTTTAATTGATTACAATGAGTTTTTTTTGCTATCTGCTTTCTTGATGCTTTTTGGGGAAATTTGGATATGTTAGAAATGTGATATTTAATTATAAAATATAAATAATACTTTTTGCTTTGGTTTTATTTCTTTTTCCAACAGGCATTGGCTAGTGGTGGGCCACTAGCTTAACATTCATTTCTGTTTCTACCTTCATTTTCAGGAAGCACTTGCCTTATAATACCTGACATCGTTTTATTCTTTGTTATACATAGGTTAGTGTTGAAGGTGGAGCTGAAAAATAATACAGCTTTTTCTATAATTCTTTATTTTCTATTCTGATACAGTTGTCTGGCCTGTTTTTAGCCCACTTAGAGGTATTATTGACAGTTTGGGCTGAATAATTCTTAGTTGTGGAGGACTGTCCCGTGCATTGTGGGATGTTTAATAGCCTCCCTGGTCTACTCATTAGATGATAGTAAACCTGCCCCCTCTCCCCCAGTTGTGACAAGGAAAAATGTCTCTAGACATTGACAAATGTCTCCAGGGAGGCAAAATTGCCCCTGGTTGAGAACCACTGAGCCCCAGTCTAATAAGAAAAAAAAAAGGATAGGTTATATAGACTTCTTTGTGTTCTAATTATACTATGATGTTTATAGGTAAATAGCTCCTGTAAAGAGGATGTCTCCAAACAGAAGCAACCAAATAAGAAAAAGAGGATCATCTATGATTCAGGTAATATTTCTTCTGAGGAGCTTTAAAGTTTTAAAGTTATATCCCTTAGTGTTTTCTAAACTATATTCTGAGACAAACAGCTTTCTGTGATGTCAGTAGGTGCTGTGAGAAGAGGGCTCAAGCAAAGTTTAAAACAATTTTGGTTAACTGCAGAATGTATCAGAACTAAAATATGTTAATGGATTAAAGATTCCTTCAGAGGGGGATAGATTATGTACCATGTCTCAAACTTTGAATATGATATATTTATTTTTAAAATATTCATATTAACTTCTCTTGAGCTAAGGTTCCTGGACACATTTTAAAAATAGTACTTTAGGCTCCTGGAAGTTGAGAGAGAAGCGACGGTGACGTGGTAGCTGTCATTGCAGCCGCTGCGGGATAATAAGCCAGGATCTGCCATACCTATTGATTAACTATGGAAGATTATACCAAAATAGAGAACGTTGGAGAAGGTACCTATGGAGTTGTGTATAAAGGTAGACACAAAACTACAGGCCAAGTGGTAGCCATGAAGAAAATCAGACTAGAAAGTGAGGAAGAAGGGGTTCCTAGTACTGCAATTTGGAAAATGTCTCTATTAAAAGTACTTCGTCTTCCAAATATAGTCAGTCTTCAATATGTGCTTATGTAGGATTCCAGGTTATATCTCATCTTTGAATTTCTTTCCATGGGCCTCAAGAAATATTTGGATTCTATCCCTCCTGGTCAATTCATGGATTCTTCACTTGTTAACAGTTACTTATAGGGGCAGAGCAAGATGGCGGACGAGAAATACCACCAGACAGAGTGTCTCTGCAGAAAAGACAGATTCTAGGAGAAATTAGAAGAAAGAAGCAAGAAGACGAGCATACATCGGATGACGGTCGGCAGGAGGGGTACCTGAGACCATGGAAGACTCCACAGGAGGAGGTTGCGGAGGAGAACTGGAAGCAGAGACCTCCCGAGTAGCCTGAAGGCCAGCGGTAAGGGTAGGTGGAGTGGTTAACTCTCCCCTCCCTTGCATCTCCGACTGCTGGTAGGCTCCCCAGTGGTTGGAGAGACATTTGGACACCAGGCCAGAGACGGCCACTGCCAGTGAGCGCTCCTCCCTGACAGCTTTTCCCAGAAGCAGAGAACAGAAGTTTGACCCCTGTTAACAGCATTGGTGGTGCCTGAGGGCAGGCTTACCCACCCAGCTCCGCTCAGACTCTCTCCCAGACCAGCCCTCACTGAGGGGGAGAATAAGGACACACCTGGAAGTCCCAGGGCCCCACCCACCACCTGAGGCACCAGAGTGCCTCTCCAGAGGAACAAGAGCTGGTTACAAGACCCAAAAACAATAGTGTAGCCTGTTCCTCTGAGCAAGCGCCACCTACTGACAGGGAGGACATTCTGCACACCCTTTTCACGGCACCTACTGACTGATACAGTGATACCCACAAACACCACCTACTGGCTCAGAAACTAAAGAGGGTGTGTCATTATCCAAACAAAAACCTAAAGGCAAGAAGCAACAACTGATCCAGATGGGAAGAAATCAGTGAAGGAACTCTGGAAATATGAAGAACCAAATAGAAAGCACACCCCCAAAGAGGAGCAGCAGCCCCTTAGAAATGGACACTAACCAAAATCAGACCACTAAAATGACAGAAGAGGAATTTCAAACGTGGATCGTTAAGAAAATTCAACGACTTGCAAGAACAACTTGATAACCAACACAAAGAAAACTCAAAAAGATTCCAGGACTTGGAACACAAATTCACTGAAGAAACTGAAACAATGAAGAAAAGTCTAACTGAACTCCTGGAAATGAAGAATCAATTCAGGGAACTACAAAACACAGTGGAAAGTTTCAAGAACAGAGTAGATCAAACAGAAGAAAGAATCTCAGAGATTGAAGATAACACCTTCCGATTAAATAAATCAGTCACAGAGATAGAGCAGAGAAACAAGAGAAAAGAGCAAAGCCTATAAGAGATGTGGGATTATGTGAAGAAACCTAATGTGAGGGTCATAGGGTTACCAGGAGGGGAAGAAGAAAACACTCAAGGGTTGGACAAGCTATTTGAAGATATAATAGAGGAAAATTTCCCAGGCCTTGCTCAAAATCTCGAGATATAAGTTCAAGAAGCTCAGAGGACCCCTGGGAGATTCAGTGCAAACAGGAAGATGTCACAACACGCAGGCATCAGACTGACTAAAATATCAACTAAAGCCCTTCTATGAGCTGTAAGACGAAAGAAGCAAGTAACATACAAAGGAAAGCCAATCTGAATAACGCCAGACTTCTGTACTGAAACTTTACAAGCAAGGAGCCCCATTTTCACTCTTCTGTAACAGAATAATGCCCAGCCTAGAATCTTATTCCCTGCAAAGCTAAGTTTTGTATATGAGGGAGAAATCAAGACATTCTCAGATAAGCAAAGACTGAGAGAATTCACCAAGACACGACCAGCCCTTCCAGAAGTACTCAAAACAGTGTTACCCATGGATCAGCACAATAAACACTCACGAATGTAAATCTACTCAAAGCTAAAGATCAAAGCCCAGATACCACACTGACTTGAGAGAGAAAACAAAGCAACAAAGTTCAAGCCAACATAATGAACAGAAATCTGCCCCTATCAGTTATCTCAATAAATGTGTATGGCTTGAACTCCCCACTCAAGAGACATAGGCTGGCTGAATGGCTAAAAAAACACAAGCCAAGTATCTGCTGCCTTCAGGAAACACATCTAACCTGCAAGGATGCGGTTAGACTAAAGGTAAAGGGGTGGAGAATGATATTTCAAGCAAATGGAAGCCAAAAGAAAGCTGGCATGGTGGTGCTCATTACAGATAACTTAGCTTTTAAATCAACAAAAGTAATAAAAGACAAAGAAGGTCACTAATGGTGAAGGGTATGGTTCAACAAGAAAACATAACAATTCTAAATATATATGCTCCCAACCTTGGTGCACCCAGATTCATAAATCAAACTCTACTTGATCTAAACAAATGGATAGACAGCAACACCATAATAGTCGGGGACTTCAGCACCCCACTGATAGCACAGGACAGATCATCCAAACAGAAAATCAACACAGAAATAATGGACTTAAACAGAACTCTAAACAAATGGGCCTGACATTTACAGGACATTCTACCCCCAAACTACTGAATATACATTCTTCTCATCAGCTCATGGGTCATTCTCTAATATTGACCATATCCTAAGATACGAAGCATGTCTCAAACAATTTTAAAAAATAGAAATTATACTATGTATCTTTTCAGACCACAATGGAATAAATGTAGAAGTCAACTCTAACAGGACTTCTCATTTCTACACAAAGTCATGGAAACTAAAAAACCTTCTGCTGAATGACCACTGCATAAATGAGGAAATCAAGATGGAAATCAAAAGATTCTTTGAACTAAATGACAAAGGTGACATAAGTTATCAAAACCTGTGGGACACAGCTAAAGCAGTCCTGAGAGGAGAGTTTATTTCCATAAATTCCTATATCCAAAAGTTGAAAAGATCACATATAGACAACCTAATGAATTATCTAAAAGAGCTGGAAAAAGAAGAACAGACCAACCCCAAACCCAGAAGAAGAAGTGAAATCATTAAGATCAAATCAGAACTAAATGAAATTGACAACAGGGAAACCATATAGAAGATTAACAAAACAAAAAGTTGGTTTTTGAAAGAATAAACAAAATTGACACACCTTTGGCTAGACTAATGAAAAGCAGAAAAGAAAAATCCCTAATAAGCTCCATCAGGAACAATAAAGGAAAAATCACAACTGATGCCACAGAGATACAAACTATAATTTATGAATACTACAGAAACCTGTAAGCACACAAACTGGAAAATGTGGATGAAATGGACAATTTCTTGGAAACACACAGCCTCCCTAGGCTCAACCAGGAAGAAATAGAATCCCTAAACAGACCAATATCAAGTACTGAAATAGAGACAGCATTAAAAAACCTTCCTAAAAAGAAAAGTCCTGGACCAGATGGTTTCACACCCGAATTTTACCACACCTACAAGGAAGAACTGGTGCCTATTCTGCTGAATGATCACTTCATAAACGAGGAAATCAAGATGGAAATCAAAAGATTCTTTGAATTAAATGACAAAGGTGACACAAGTTACCAAAACCTTTGGGACACAGCTAAAGCAGTCCTGAGAGGAAAGTTTATGTCCATAAATGCCTATATCCAAAAGTCAAAAAGATCACGGATAGACAACCTAATGAATTGTTTCAAAGAGCTGGAAAAAGTAGAACAGACCAACCCCAAACTCAGCATAAGAAGTGAAACCATTAAGATCAAATCAGAACTAAATGAAATTGACAACAGGGAAACCATATAGAAGATTAATAAAACAAAAAGTTGGTTCTTTGAAAAAATAAACAAAATTGACACACCTTTGGCTAGACTAATGAAAAGCAGAAAAGAAAAATCCCTAATAAGCTCCATCAGGAACAATAAAGGAAAAATTACAACTGATGCCACGGAGATACAAGCTATAATTTATGAATACTACAAAAACCTCTATGCACACAAACTGAGAAATGTGGAGGAAATGGACAATTTCTTAGAAACACACAGCCTCCCTAGGCTCAACCAGGAAGAAATAGAATCTCTGACAAGACCAATATCAAGTACTGAAATTGAAATAGCAATAAGAGACCTTCCTAAAAAGAAACGTCCTGGACCAGATGGTTTCACACCTGAATTTTACCACACCTACAAAGAAGAACTGGTGCCTGTCTTGCAGAAATTATTCCACAACATCAAGTAGGATGGAATTCTCCCCAACACATTTTATGAAGCAAACATAACCCTGATACCAAAACCAGGAAAGGATGCAACAAAAAAAGAAAACTACAGACCAATATCCCTTGTGAATATAGATGCAAAAATTCTCAACAAAATGCTAGCCAATCGAATCCAATGCTTGCCAAGAAAATAATCCATCACAACCAAGTGGGCTTCATCCCAGGGATGCAGGGATGGTGCAACATATGCAAATCTATGAATGTAATTCACCATCTAAACAGAAGCAAAAACAAAAGACCATATGATCCTCTCAATAGACGCAGAAAAAGCATTTGACAAAATTCAACACCCTTTTATGATAATAACGCTCAACAAAATAGGCATAAACGGGGCTTACCTAAAAATGATACAAGCCACATATAACAAACCCACAGCCAATATCATACTGAATGGAGAAAAATTGAAAGCATTCCCACTTAGAACCGGAACAAGACAAAGTTGCCCACTATTTCCATGTCTATTCAACATAGTGCTGGAAGTCCTTGCTACAGCAGTCAGACAAGGGAGTGGAATTAAGGGCATCCAGATGGGAGCAGACAAGATCAAACTCTCACTTTTTGCTGATGAGATGATATAACTAGGAAACCCCAAGGATTCAACCAAGAGACTCCTTGATCTGATAAATGAATTTGGTAAAATCACAGGATACAAAATCAATACACAGAAATCAGAGGTATTCATATACACCAACAATAGTACAAGTGAGAACCAAATCAAAGACTCAATTCCCTTCAAAATAGCAACAAAGAAAATGAAGTACCTAGGAATATATTTAACTAAGGAGGTAAAAGACGTCTACAGGGAGAACTATGAAACACTGAAGAAAGAAATAGTAGAGGATGTAAACAGATGGAAGAATATACCATGCTCATGGGTCGGCAGAATCAACATTTTAAAATGTCTATACTACCCAAAGGGACCTACAGATTCAATGCAATCCCTATGAAAATACCATTAGTATTTTTCACAAATATAGAAAAAATAGTGTTATGCTTCATATGGAACCAGAGAAGACCCCGTATAGCAAAATCAATCCTAGGCAATAAAAAGAAAATAGGAGGTATCAATTTACCAGATTTCTAACTATACTACGAGGCTATAGTTATTAAAATAGTTTGGGACTGGCACAAGAACAGAGACATTGACCAGTGGAACAGAACAGAGAACCCAGATATAAAACCATCCTCATATAGTCAAGTAGTCTTTTTTGACAAAGCAGACAAAAACATACACTGGGGAAAAGAATCCTTATTCAATAAATGGTGCTGGGAAAACTGGATAGCCACATGTAGAAGACTAAAACAAGACCCACACCTTTTCACCTCTCACAAAAATCAACTCACGCTGGGTAACAGACTTGAACATTAGGTGTGAAACTATTAGAATTCTAGAGGAAAACGTTGGAAATATTCTTCTAAATATTGGCTTAGGCAAAGAATTTATGAAGAAGACTCCAAAGGCAATCACAGCAGCAACAAAAGTAAATAAATGGGACCTGATCCAATTAAAAAGCTTCTGCACAGCCAAAGAAACTGTCAAGAGAGCAAACAGAAAGCCCACGGAATGGGAGAAAATTTTCACAAGCTACATATCCGATAAGGGGCTGATAACTGAAATCTATTTAGAACTCAGGAAAATCAGCAAGAAAAAATCAACCTTGTCAAAAAATGGGCAAAGGACATGAACAGAAACTTCTCAAAAGAAGACAGAACAATGGCCAACAAACATATGAAAAAATGCCCAACATCTCTAATTATCAGGGAAATGCAAATCAAAACCACAGTGAGATATCACTTAACTCCAGTGAGAATGGCCTTTATCAAAAAGTCCCCAAACAGTAAATGTTGCTGTGGATGCAGAGAGAGAGAAACACTCCTGCACTGCTGGTGGACTGCAAACTAGTACCTCCTCTGTTAAAGCAATACAAGTAGATCTACCATTTGATCCAGCAATTCCACTACTGGGCATCTACCCAAAAGATTAAAAGTCACTTTATGAAAATGACACCTGGACTCGAATGTTTATAGCAGCACAGTTCACAATTGCAAAGTTGTGGAAACAACCCAAGTGACCATGAATTCTTGAGTGGATTAATAAAATGTGGTATATGTATACCATGAAGTAGCATTCAGCTTTATGAAACTTTGATGATATAGCACCTCTTGTATTTTCCTGGATAGATCTGGAACCCATTCTACTAAGTGAAGTATCTCAAGAATGGAAAAACAAGCACCACATGTACTCACCAGCAAATTGGTATTAACTGATCAACACCTAAGTGGACATATAGGAAAAACATTTATCGTGTGTCAGGCAGGTGGGAGCGGGGAGGAGGGGATGGGTATATACAGACACAATGAGTAAGATGTGCAACATTTGGGGGATGGTCACGCTTGAAGCTCTCACTCGGGGGAGGGTGGCATGGGCAATATACGTAACCTTAACATTTGTACTCCCATAATATGCTGAAAAAAAAAGAGTTACTTATATGAAATCCTACAGGGGATTGTGTTTTGTCACTGTAGTAGAGTTCTTGATGGAACCTCAAAATCTATTGATTGATGACAAAGGAACAATTAAACTGGCTGATTTGGCCTTGCCATAGCTTTTGGAATACCTGTTAGAGTATATATACATGAGGTAGTAACACTCTGGTACGGATCCCCAGAAGTATTGCTGGGGTCAGCTCGTTACTCGACTGCAGTTGACATTTGGAGTATAGGCACCATATTTGCAGAATTAGCAACTAAGAAACCACTTTTCTATGGGGATTCAGAAATCGATCAACTCTTCAGGACTTTTAGAGCTTTGGGCGCTCCTAATAATGAACTGTGACCAGACGTGGAATCTTTACAGGACTGTAAGAATACATTTCCCAAGTGGAAGCCAGGTAGCCTGGCATCTCATGTCAAAACTTGAATGAAAATGGCTTGGATTTGCTCTCCAAAATGTTAGTATATGATCCCACCAAACAAATTTCTGGCAAGATGGTGCTGAATCATCCATATTTTAATGATTTGGACAATCAGATTAAGAATATGTAGCATTTTGACAAAAAGTTTCCACATTATAGTGAGAACAGATAGTTGTATTTTTTACTGTTAATTTTGTCTCACAGATTCAGAATCAGAGGATACAGTGCAGGTAAAAAATGCCAAAAAGCAACCAGAAAAATTGCCATTGACTTCTAAACCTGGTAAAATTTTACAGCAGGATCCTGTTACATACATTTCAGAAACAGGTAAGGTTACTATGTTTAGTTTTGGGAGACATGCAGTGTATGTTATGTTTTTGAGCTTTTTCATTGGTGTCTAAATGCACCTCCTTCACTTTGAAAGAATTTCTGTTGTCTTTTTGCTGTGTTGGATTATATTTATCAGAGGAAGGCTCTAATCATCTTTGGCATTTTCTGTGGATTAAAGGCCAATTACAGGGGAGTTGGTTCTTGGGATATTTTTTTTGAGATAGAATCTTGCTGTGTTGCCCTGGCTAGAGTGCAGTGGTGTCATTAAAACTCTCTACGACCTCAAACTCCTGGGCTTAAGGGATCCTCCTGCCTCAGCCTCCTGAGTAGATGGGATTATAGGCATTAGCCAACATGCCTGGCTGGCTCTTGGAATTTTTTTGAGTACTTTATATTGAATCATGTAAGTTGATGCTTTATCTTGACTCATATATTAAAATATTACGGGCCGGATCTGGTGGCTCTCGCCTGGGAGGGTGGATCAATTGAGTTTAGGAGTTTGAAACCAGCCTGAGCAAGAGCGAGACCCCGACTCTACTAAAAAAAAAAAAAAAAAAAATAGAAAGAAATTAATCGGCCAACTAAAAATATATAGAAAAAATTAGCTGGGCATGGTGGCGCATGCCTGTAGTCCCAGCTACTCGGGAGGCTGAGGCAGCAGGATTGCTTGAGCCTAGGAGTTTGAGGTTGCTGTTACCTAGGCTGACACCACAGCACTCTAGCCCTGGTGACAGAGTGAGACTCTGTCCCAAAGGGGGAAAACAAAAATATATATATATATATATATTTATATTATTACATTATTTAGAACTATTAAGCTTTTATATTTTGTGTGCTAATGTTATAATCTAAGTGTCTAATGATTATTCATATTTGTGATTTACAATTTAGCACAGATGTGACTTTAATTAGCTGTATTCTCTGGCAACACTAAAGATTTTAGTATTTTTTAAAAGATTGTTTTGTACTTATATTTATTTCTCTTGAACCTGTTTTGAGAGTAATCAAAGAGCAAAGGACATTTGTACGTATATACTAATTTTAAGATTTTGTAGTCTAAATAATTGTCTCTTAGATACTGTTCTTTTATATGAGGATCCCGGAGTTGTCATCTTAGGAAAAAAAATCTCACATAAGTTAGTGGTGTCGTCATTTTGATTCTATTATTTGTTAACTCCTAGAGGAGACCATGACAGGAATAATATGAGATGGTGTATATGAAAGGACCACACCCAGTGCCTGACACATATACTAGTAGGCAGTTGAAAGGAAAAAGGAAAGAGAAAAACAATAAAAGCTCACAGATGAACTTTGTAGGCTGTGTGAGACATTTATTGATGAAGTCATTCAGAATGATCAATGACAAAATGTAAGTGATGTGAACATATTTTTTGGGACATTTTTAGTAAGCTGAGGTGTTTCTTTGTTAAGGGCAGGTGGCAGATTGACTCTTTTAATGTTTTTGTTCTATTGCTAAATATCAGCTCAGGCACATTGTGCAAATGAACTCCTTCCATTAGGAGGCCCTCCTCTTAGATCTGGCCATTTTTGTGAAATTTTGAATATGTGGGAGGGATAGTAAAAACAGTATGCTAATAAGTTTATTATGTAAATCAAGGTGGTATGATCAAGCTTTCCAGTGACACCCTGAAAAGGTTAAAGTTAGTGTGCAGACAGCCATGGCCTTCAGCTGTGGATCAAGGCTATCCTTATCTTGCGATTTTAAGTACACAACAGGGTCAGACAATTTTACCTCTGATCACAGACTTTCTTTAACATAGGACTCTTTTTTCAGGTGAGGAATTTTTGAATATTACTTTCTAAAAGAGATGTCCAGCATTGTATCCAAACTTTTTATGAACATTAGGCAATATTTGTGGCATTTTGCAGATAGCATGTTCATGTGAAAGTAAACATTGTCTTCTTGTTTTAGCTAAAAATCTTGAGGTGTGATATACCTATTTAATGTGATGTTCAGTATTGCACAATATTCTGTTTTTTCTCAGAATTGAGATATAGGAAGAAGCTAGTTCTATTCTTGCCTGTTTTATCTTCTCATATTTTTTTGTTACTTGAAATGATAGGTGAATGAGGCCCGATAAAGGAGAATGAGAGTATTAAAAAAAGTTCACAATAAAATTGGAATAATAACATAAGAAATATAAACAGTTTCAGTAAAGTATAAATCTTAAAATTAATATTCTACTGGAAATTCCTTAACCTTAAAACTATTCTTCTATTAGTCTTTACTTTTTCTTTAAGTTGAACTATACTTTTCAATATTGGGTCACAAATATTTTTGATTTATTTTACCAGTTTAAGTAAATATATTTGTGTTAATAATAGTTTAAAAATTGTAATCTAAAATTATATTTGTTTATTTGGAGATTGGGACTTCATGTGGAAAAGTATTGAATGATATGATTCAGTTTTAAAAACTTGTTAATTCCACAAGAAAGCGTTTTTGCCTCATCATTGCATACTTTATCTTTTCTTTCATGCCCATCTTCTATATTCTGATTTTAAAAACACAGTGTTTGGTTTCTGTTGGCATCTTTCTTGTAGTATAGCATGTGTAGTGTTTAAGATCACAGCCCTAGTTAAATCTTTACTTACTTTCCCTGTGTCTTAGTTTTCTCTTATGTGAAGTAGAGATATTACTCGTACCTACATCAGTAGTCTTTGTGATGATCAAATGAGATAATGCTTGAAAAGCATTTAAAATATGATCTGGTATAAATGCTCAATAAGTATTAGCTGTTTTTCTTATATTTGACACTATTGTAAACGTACATCTACCTTTAAAGACATTTAGCATTTGCTTAGAAACTTAGGATTTTCTGTTGATTATGTTACTATGCTTTAGATAGTTAGAAATGGTATTTGACTCACTTATGTTACAAATATATGCTGTCCAATGTGGAACTACTAGTTACTTGTGGCTGTTGAGCACTTGAAATATAATTAGCCTGAATTGAGAGTGTTGTAAGTATAAAATACAGGTTTCACACAGCAAAGGAAACAATCAACAAAATGAAATGGCAACCTGCAGATTGGGAAAAAGTACTTGCAAACTATATATCTAATAAAGGCTTAATATCTAAAATTTACAAAGAACTCATACAACTAAATTGTAGAACAACAAATAACTCAATTAAAAAGGCTGAATAGCCGGGCGTGGTGGCTCACGCCTGTAATCCTAGCTCCCTGGGAGGCCAAGGCGGGTGGATTGCTCAAGGTCAGGAGTTCGAGACCAGCCTGAGCAAGAGCGAGACCCCATCTCTACTATAAATAGAAATTAATTGGCCAACTAATATATATAGAAAAAATCAGCCGGACATAGTGGCGCATGCCTGTAGTCCCAGCTACTTGGGAGGCTGAGGCAGAAGGATTGCTTGAGCCCAGGAGTTTGAGGTTGCTGTGAGCTAGGCTGACGCCACGGCACTCACTCTAGCCTGGACAACAAAGCGAGACTCTGTCTCAAAAAAAAAAAAAAAAAAAAGGCTGAATAGATATTTCTTCAAAGAATACATAAAAATGGCCAGTAGGTCTTTGAAAAGGTGCTCAATATCATGAATCATAAGATGTTTTAGCTCCATGAGAAATAGTTTTCATCATTAATTTAATTAAGTCTGTCTTCTACTAGGATTTATTGATTTTTTAAAAAAATCTAATTTAACCATATTTCCCATGTTACAGGAAAAGGGAAAAATCACTTATAAATATCTTCATAGATAACCATTTGACTCTAGTAAGATGTTTCGAGGTTGGTAAAAACCCAAATGCTTGTTGTACTGGGTAAATATATTTACTTTTAATTGTTTAATGAAGTGAAAGACCTTGAGTTTTGTTTGGCGGAGATGACCTTTTATTATGCAGTTTCATCAGGGCCTGCTGTTTGAGAATGTTGGGAGATTTTCCTATCATGAAAATTGTTTATGACTGGTAATTTTAATTGTGCACATAATTCCTGAGGCAGTTAGTGCTCTTAAAGTTATAATTGTCTGGGGAGGGGTGTTGTGTTCTCTAGGTTTACCGTGTAATATAAGTGACCTGTGACTTGGGAAAGTAGTAGCAGAAAATATTACTGGGGATGTGTGTGTAATATTCTCTTTGCTAATTTTTAGTGGCATAGTTTAATATGAGACAAATAAGTATAGATTCTGTATATGATAGAGAGTTTTTCAGGGAATGATGTGGCCCGATTATAGGACGGGGGATGGACACAACATAAAATAACGACACAGACACACATACAGACAATACATGACTTGAGTGCCCAATGCACTGGTCACTTTTATTTTATACCCCCCAGACCCAAAGTTAGTTCCTTGTATGTGAGCATCTGAGCATAGCAACGATAACCATTAATTTTGGAGTTCTTTTACAAGGGAACGATGGTCCTGTAATTTTAGACCTTAAAACGGTTACTTACGGTTCCAGACATAGCTCAAAAGCCAAGGCCGAGATAAGCAACATAGAGCAATGCAGCCGTCTGAAGAACTTTTTGTTCTCTCTCCCAGCCAGCGGCTCTCCCCCAGCCAGTGGCCTGCCCCACGGTTGTGTCTGTCTTAGGTTTCCCCTCCCTTAAAGAGTCTTACCCATCACTGACTACCAACCATCTCACGGGGCCGAGCCTTAAAAATGTTCTTCTTGTTTTTATGGCCTCCAGACTCCCACCACAAAAGCCCACCATATAAAAGCCAGACAACATTTGCTTACATACAAAAACTCAGGCCTCTTATCATGTCACAGGGCAACAACTGTGTCTAAAAAAAATGCTGGCTACCACAACATCATATAATGCACATACATTACAGGTTATAATAAATAATTAATATAAGGGATAACACCAAAATCAGCCTCCAAAAAGGGAAGCCTTGAGTGATTGAGGCAGAAAATTTCCTTGAATTGAGAGGAAACTAAGAACTGTGTATTATGTTTTTTTGATTATACTTGTTTACAAATTAATAAGATTAATAATAAATTAGTATTTA